TAGAACTTTCTCATTAGAAGGGGACATTGGAGCTAGAGTAATGGTGTTTTCTTAACTGAATAAAAAAAACCTTGCTGGGCTTGAACAATGAGTCAAACTTAGGAACAGACTAGGCTACAGTGATAAAAATCATCTGTTAAATTTGTATCAGATACTGATTTTATTGTACGGTATTTGTATCTTATGACTTGTAATAGTCACTAAAGTTGAATTATTACCAACAGTTGTTTACCTATTTATTAGTTTCATTTCTCCTCACTCTTTTTGTGCTACCATATAACCCCTGCTCCTCACTTCTTCCCCCACTTTAAAAAAATTTTGTTTGCAGAGAAGTGAACCGAAGGCCTCGTGCATGCTATGTATGCACTATTCCACTGTGCTACAACTCCCAGCTCTTCTCTGTTTTTTTTTTTTTTTTGGGGATCGAACTCGGGCGGCAGAACCACTGAGCTAAATCCACGACCCTCCCAGCCCTTCTCTTTATTCTGCTTTTTCTTTTCCCTTTGTGGTACTGGGGGTTGAACCCAGGGCCTTTGTACTAAGCTACATCCCCAGCCTATTTTTCATGTTGAGACAGGGTCTTGCTAAATTCCCAAGGCGGGGCTTAAATTTGTGATCCTCCAGCCTGAGCCCCTCAGAGTTCTGGGATTACTGGTGGGCGCCACCACACCCAGTCCCTCTTCTTTCTTAACATTTATTCTGATATATTTACTGGCAGTGCAATTTCTGAGATCATTCATATTCTAAAATGTCATTTCTTGGCTTAAATAGAGCATGATGTTTTGTTTCCCTTTCCTTGGAACTCTATAAATATTACTCCATTTCTTCATAGTGTTTAGTGTTTCAGACAAGAAGTCCTGCTCAGAACAGTTCTCTTTCCCATAGGTTACCACCATTTTTTCTCAGTAAGCTTATTTCTTTTATTCTATGGTATTCAGAATGGCTCTCACTTTTCTTTTTAAAATTTATGTGTGCGTCTATTTATTTAGTGGTACCGGGTCTGGAACCCACAGTCTCACACATGTCAGGCAAACACTCTTTGGCTTGAGCTATACTCCCAACCTCTCTACTCCGTTTTAAAAAAATAACAGCTTCACAGAGATATAGTTCACATGCCCTTAAAACATTACCCTTTAAAGCACTCAATTTAAAGTGGTGGTTAGTATATTCACAGAATTCTACAAATATCACCACTAAACTTAGACATTTTTCATCTCTCCCAGAGAAACCCCATACCCACCGATTCCCCCAGCCTCCCTTCCACTGACTCAGGCAACCATGAATCCACTTTCTGTCCTGTGGATTTGCTTATTTTACAGACCTTCTCTAAATAGAATCCTGCAATATGTGACCTTTGTGATAGATCGAGGTTTTTAAGCAGTTTGGGTATTTCTATCAAACACTCCAATTCCTAGCAGCCACGTCTCCTCCCTGTCTGCCTGTGGTAGGGAGAAGGATGGGCAGGAGCTGGGCTGTATGGATGGCTGTGTTCCCTCTGCTTGGACCAGGTCACTTGTGTGGACGCACTTGGCTGGTGGTGGAGCTGGCAGGTGGAAAGAGGCCTCTCTCCTATGTCTCTACTCTAGTCTTTTTTTTTTTTTTTTTTTTTTTTTTTTTTTTTTTTTTTTTTTTTTTTTTTTAATTTTCAGTACCAGGGATCAAATTTAGGACCTTGTGCTTGTGAGGCAGGTACAGTGCCATTAAGCTAAGTCCCCAGCCCTGATACTGACTAGAGCCCAAGGTGTTTTTGTTCTTGTCCATATGGCCTCTCTTGGTGCATGGTGTCTCATCTTTAGGATCCTCCTGAGTGACCTTTCTCCCAAGCACCTTACCCTGGAGCTCTGGACATCATGGCCACTAAATTTCAACAGCAGAAAGGAGAGGGTTGCCATCCTCCTCACAGCTAAGGCCCAACAGGCCTGGTGTTACATCTGCTGTGTTTTGTTGGCCAAAGCAATTCTTAAGACCAGCCTAAGGGAAGTGGGTAGGGCAAGGGGAATGGATTCCCCTCTCCTTTTTAAAATTTTTTTATGCAGTACCGGGGATCGAACTCAGGGCCTTTTACTTGCAAAGCAGGCACAGTGTCACTGAGCTAACCCTGCCCCCTTTTGATGCTAAAGATCAAACCAGGTTCCTCTCTTGAGAAACAATGTGCAAGAAAGGGAAGGAAAGGGTTGTAGGCTACCATCTTTGCAGTCGATCGCCCACAAAGTGCTCCTCACAGTTTGCTGAATGAAAGGTGCAACCAGATCAGAACTGCTAGCTTGTGTGGGCCCCGCCAGCAGCTGAATAAACTGCTGATACCCAGATAGTAACCACTGAGGCGGGTGAGGCATTCGTTGGTCCAAGACCAAAAAATCAGGAGATGATCCTGGATTTTTATAAGATCACATTAAACAAATTTAAAAAGGACTCTGTGGTTTTCTATTTTCTTTCTTTTTCGGAGGCACTAAAATGTCCTTTCTTTTATGAAATTACAGTATTAGTAGTTTTTTTGGGATTAAAAAAAGATCTTTCATGGGAAAATAGAATATTGGCCATTTTGCTGGGTGTGGTGGCACATGACTATAATCCCACCGCTCTGGAAGGCTGAGGCAGGAGGATGGCAAGTGCAAGGTCCTAAATTTGATTCCCAATACTTAAAAAAAAAAATTAGTCCTCCCAAAGTTGCTTTGAAATCCCAGGAACAACCATCTGCCCCGCCCCTCCCCCATGGTCCTCACGCGTATCTAGGAAGCTTCCATCTCTGTTGGGGCTTTTTTCTCTAGGTGAGGTCAATGTGCACGGCTCTGATGGCATTCTTCAGGTTCTTAAACCACTTCTGAGAATAAACCTGTTCACTGGCAGAGAGTTTTCTTCCCTAGTCTCTGAATTAATATACAGTTTTTGTCTCTGTACTTGCCATGTCTGGGAGTCTTTTTTTTTTTTTTTAAATATTTGCCCTTATTCTTATTTTTAGATTTCTTTTTCTTTCTTTCTTTCTTTTTTTTTTTCCTGGTACCGGGGATTGCACTCAGGACCTTGTGCTTGCAAGGCAGGTGCGGCACCACTGAGCTAAATCCCCGGCCTCTGGCAGTCTTTAGTCAAGGGGAAAAGTGCCTTGTCCTTCTCCAGGACTATTTTACACCCTTCTAATCTTGGTAATATTACTAAGTTCCTGCTCTCTTCCCTCACGATTTGACATACCATCACATGCTTACAAGCTGGAAATCCATTTGTCACTTGCTCACATTTTTCATGCCAGTTAAATTGTTTTATATTTGGGGCTCCATTTTAGATTTTATATTTTTTTGTTTTTTGAGACAGGGTCTCACTGTGTAGTCCAGGCTGACCTCGAACCCTTGGAAATCGTCCTCCTTCAGCCTCCTGAGTGCTGGGATTATAGCCATGTGCCACTACACCTGGCCATTTTAGGTATTTCAGTATGAGGTTGGGACAGTCTTTATTTTACAATAATCAGATTTTTTTTTTGGTACTGGGGATCGAACTCGGGTCTTTGTGCTTGCAAGGCAGGCAGTGGAACCACTGAGCTAAATCCCCAGCCAATAATCAGATTTTTTTAAAGGTACTGTTTTGGGTTCTTTCTGTTGGCTGTTGGGGAACTTGGAATGGTTGTTGCCTTGTGCCAGTTCCCAGGACACATTGACGAGTATTTATTTGAGCACCTCCTATGCTTTCTACACCTATGGTGTACTCCTTAGGGAGTGCAATAAAATGCATGATACAACTGCAAACAAATGGGTTTATAAGGGGAGGCAGATGCTGTGAAAAAACGGTGGTCATAATGTCACCTCTCTTCTCTCTGTTCTTCTCTCCTTTCCCTGCGTTTGGGGTCGGTCTGAGACATAGTTGAATGTGAAGTTTCTGGCCTGTGCAGGCCTGGAGGTCGGTGCATCAGCACTCACAGAAGGCTCGAGCACCACTGTATGGATGGATATTTGCCCTACCCTCAGCAGAGATACGCGGTCATGTGTAGCCAGTTGTCTTGGGTCTGGGGCACACACACAATGCCTCATTGCAAGATGAGCTCTGCGAATGTCACTTTCTTACACTCTGCTGTTTATGGGTGTGTGGGGTGTAGATTACCTGTTCTTTTGCATAGTTTTACAACCTAATCAACATTGAAGGGGCTACGTGAAAACAGCTAAAATTAGTATACACTAAGTATTTTAGCAGTTAATTTTTTTCCTTATTGGGGATTGAATCCAGGGCCTTCACTCTGATCTGTAGCCTCTTACATTTTTTTTTTTTTTTTTTTTTTTGCCTCAGCCTTCTTTAAATACTTTTTAAAATATTTTTTTTTCTTTTTTAGACAAGATCTTGCTAAGGCACTAAGTTACCTACGTTGGGGCATGGACTTGCAGTCTTCCTTCCTCAGTTTCCCAGAGTGCTGGGATTATAGTTGTGCATCACCATGCCTGGTAGTTAATAGATACCTTGAGGTTTTTTTGTTTTGACATAGGGTCTTGCTTTGTAATTCAGGTTGGCCTTGAAGTCATTATGTAGCCCAGGCTGGCTTCAAACTTGTATCCTACTGCTTCAGCCTCCTGAGTACTAAGATTATAGTCATGCACCACTATACCCAGCTTAACAGATATTTTGATATTAACCTCTATGTTAGGTGGTAAACACAGGTCTTGTGGTAAAGCCTCAGCATCTCGCAAGTGACACTGAATTATAAATGTTCATGTATCTTATAGTATTTTGCAATTGAAAGTTTTTACTTTATTGAGCTAGGCATTTATTTAGTATAAATAGTGAGTGTTGATTGCTAAAATTTTTTCAGGTTTGTATTATCTGTGGATAATTATGTTTGGAAGGTCAAAGGACTGAATAAAAACCACCACTGGAAATATGCCTAGACATCAGATGGAAATGAACAAGTGTACTTAAAACAGGGCCTGGGATGTGGATGTGAGGAACAGGGAGGTGGAGAAAGATGGTGAGTTTTGAAAATTTATGTTCACATACTAATAAATTTGATATGTATTGGTTTTCAGAAATAGACTGCGGCCCCCCTCCAGAAGTCCCAGGCAGCTATATTATAGGAAATTACAGCTCAAGGCTGGGAAGCCAGATCCGTTATAGTTGCAAAGAAGGATTTTTCAGTATCCTGAATGATTCTGTGTCAAGCTGCACCCCCCAGGGCACATGGGATTTGCCTAGATTACATTGCCAAGGTGAGTTTTCCAAAGTTTCAGGCTCCCAGTTCGTTGTGCCACCTTGATAGTGTTTTCATATTTATCTAAATTTCGCTTTGAGCTAGTAAATGAGTTAAATAAATCCAAAATATCTCTACTTGTTTCCAGTAGGTTCTTAGTTGGTTTTGTTAGTATTTTCAGTAACAGTATCCTATCATTTGCAAATCACGATAATTCCATCTTTTTCTTTTCTATATTTATGTTATGTTTTCTCTTGGCTGGTGTTTTCACAGTGAAAACTTGAACAGTACTATTGACTTTGAGTGTTCTTTTCCTATTGCTGACTTTCATGCAAATGGCTTTGGTGTTTCAACATTCGTAATCTTGCCTTTTTGATGTTGTGCACTTATATAGCACTGTGCACTGAGTATGTTCTAAGCACCGTATGTATAATTGACTCATCCAATCCATGTAATATTTCTAGAAATGGGTATTATTATTATTATTGCATTTTATAGATGTGAAAATTCCTCTGTAAAGGTACAAAGAAGTTAAGTGATTTGTTTAAAGTTATAAAAAATTCAAATCCAGTTGTTTTAGTGTCAGTGTTTGCAGTTACTCTGGTTTACTGCTTCTGTTTTTAAGGTGTTTGCTTTTGGCCTTTTTTTTTTTTTTTTCACTTTTTGCTTTCTTTTTATTTCCAGCTATCACACCTCAAGGAAGCATTGCTTCATTCCCACTTATAAGGATTAAAAAAAAAGAAAAGAAATGCATTATCTTTATCATCTCTTTTAGGAATGTGTGAAGATGTTTATGTATGTGTTTTCTCTTTTTAAACAGTAATATTGTAGGTCATATTATTAGATTTCACTAATTCAAGCACTCTCCACTAGAGAAGTGGAACCACTTCTAAAACTTTCCAAACTAATTTCTTTCTGTAGTGGGGATAGAATAATTTTCATACCAGAGAGTTAAGGAGAAGGTTTAATGAGAAAATAATACAAAGTGCTGTGTACTGGGCCTAGTGCGGCGTAGCTGTTGGGTGACTGTTGCTGTCATTAAGAGGCATGTTCTGCACTGGGGACTGAGTAGGTATATTTTTAACAAAAATGTAAGATCTTCCCAAAACATCTTATCATAAAGTGTGGGAAGGTCTATAATTCTTCAACTTTCACATTTACCTCATTTATTTGTTTTCAATTTCAATATTTTATTTACAACTAGAACATTAAAATGAAGACTCCTAGTATTATCTTTTGAAAAAAAAAAAAAAGCAGTTCAGAGTGTCAAAAGCTATGATCATCTCTGAAAATGGAAGATACTTACCAGAAAATAACACCTTTTTTCATTCCTACCACTTGTGCTTCTGCTAAACCTGTCGCCTCCTCTGCGTTTTCTGAAGCGTTTGGATTCTAGCTGTTCCCACACTAGACACTATTTATTGACAGTAAGTGTTATTATGGAAAATGGAAAAGGTTTCTCTTCCTCTAAACAAGCTGAAGAAAATATATGGCTAGTCAAAGCTAAACTTTGTAGAAGACTGAAAAATACAAAATACATCAAAAAGTAATTTTAAAAATCTTTTTACTGCCTTAAGGGCCATGGACTTCTTGGTACCAGTCAGCTTGTTAGCTTAGTTAGAGCAGTTAATCATCAGCTGTAGACAGTGAATCTCATGGCGTACCGTAACCCTTATGTTTTCCTTGGGTGGTTGTAATAAGATTTAAAAAATTCAACTTGCCATAATCCAGATGTTATATTTCAAACCTCAGCATCATTTGTGTGTGTGTGTGTGTGTGAGTGTGTGTGTAAGATGTCAGTTCATGAATGTTTGCAAACAAGTGTTTGACACAATTTTGTTTCTGTTCCCAAACTCTGAATCAGGTGACACATATGACCCTGGCCATCTTCCCCACATGAACACAAATGCAGCCATTTTCCCTAAAATCATAAAGTAAGTTAAGTTCATAAACATGGAATCACTGTGTATGTGTGTATATATATTTATATACATATATATTTTATATTTACTTATTTATTTTTTAGTGCCCAAGTGACGTTTGAATGAGAGTCCACCTATATGTAGCCAAATTCAGAACATGCTGTAAAATATGTAAACTTTGTTATAGATTACATTTTTTAGCCCAGCTCCTTAAGCCGTATTACTTGCATGTGAACATAACGAAGATTAATGCTCATAATAACGTTTTTTAGTTCACATGACTGTAGGCAATATTTAAAAATATAGGTTATAGTCACAGACTGCAAAGAGCCTATCATTTAGTGAAAGAATGTTTTCACAAATGAAGAAAGTGAAGTATAGTTATTGTGTGGCATTATCTGATTTAGAAGATGACAGTAGTATGGATTCTGGTGTTAATCTGCTTAGACCCTTTGAACTCCACGTCCCTCTGGTTTCCAGATGATTCATAGACTTTAGATTGGATTTGAAGACATGATGGAGATTTATTTTTATTATTGTCAGGTTAAGATGAAAACTGACTTTAATATGATTTTCGTCAGTTTCAACACTTGTTTCTGCTCTTTTGTACAGCTTTACATCTAGTTCTTGCTTATTTTTGTGGGAAGATTGCTCTTTGGAGGAGTCCGTATCAGTAAGTGCAATAGCTCTGTTATTCATTTCCCTGGCAGTTGGCACAGTATCTGCCACGATTTATAGGCAATTGTTGGTCACTTAATTCCTTTCTCAGCTTGTGTTTTATTGATCTCTAAATAGTCTTAGATGAAGCCTTATATTACTGTGTTATTTCTGTCATCAATCCATGTTATTGTGCTGATGTTTATAGTAAATAGCAGCCAGTATGGGTGACATTTGTGAGGCAGTCAGTTGTTGATTAAATACCATAAATTGACTATGCCTTTCATCAAACAGATTTCCTTCTGGAATATTTTCTTCAGTAGAGTATTAAAGCTAGCAGAGTACATAAACATTCAAGATATGAGACAAAGTTACATTATAAATATAGGCCTTAAAACTTTCACAACACATTTTTCTATTTTAAAGTTGATGGTTTGAGTAAAATTGCAGACAGTTGGAGAATAAGGAAAAAATTCCCAGCCATGTTCATAATTAGTTGACTTTATTCCAGATACAGCTTCAAACAGTGTTACTTAATAATGTAATTAGCCAGATAAACATGTGCTTTAATGAATATTCCTATGCATGTACCATGAAAATCTGTCCTGTTTATTTTTTCTTTCTTTTGCATATAAACTATTTCTAAATGTTTCCTTGTGATAGTAAAAGTTTGGGGGGTTTTCATGTAGAATTATATTTTTATTATCTCCTATGGCATCTGTTGGATTAATTGTTTGTTTGTTTTGTTTTTTGAGACAGGGTCTCACTGTGTAGTTGACACTGACCTGGAACTCACTATGTAGCCAGGCTGGTTTTGAACTCACAGTGATCCTCCTGCCTCAGCCTCCTGAATGCTGGGATTATAGGTGTGTGCCACCACACCTGGTTTAATTGTTGTTTCTTAATAGAAACTACCTACTTTCTTGGGTACCATTTCGTCTGAGTGAAAATGGCATGGCTACCATCCTAAATATAGTGGGAATATAGGGCCATGTTCTAGGCAAGACCATTCCTGACCCTCATATTTATTGTGAGTTAAACATCAGTACTAAGGTTTCAGGAGTGTGTGTGGGGGTCACACATCTACGGACAAATCTGTTTCCAGCAGCTTTCTTGCTCTAAGAGATTTGTCAGAGTCGAGATTGGGAGGAGTTGTCATCGACCCCTTGTATACTAATTAGAACACTCCTCCGTGCACCTGTTTCTCCTCTGGCATTAGCTAACTTATGAGATCATTTCTACTCAGGGTTTTTGAGTGAGCCCCTTTATTGTGAGAATGCCCAGATTTTATAGATATGGATTTTGGGGCTCCATAAACCACAGTTTGATTTGCTCTATCTTTTAGTAATAGTGTATCTTTTGGATGGGTCTTTAAGCTCTAGGGCCTTCATTTTTATATCTGTTAACATCTATTTTGCATGGTTTTCTGTGAAATAAATAAGAAAGTATATATCTAGCATACTACTTTGTGTGTAGCAAGATTTCAATGACTGCTATTATTATTAAAATTATTAAGGTCTTATCAAGTTTCCTACAATTTCCTGGTATAATTAGTTTTTGTGGGGCTTCTTTCTCAGCTCTCTTCTTCTTGGTGTTTGGTAGATGTGAGTTATTTATGCTGAAAAACGAATACAGGAGTAATGTTCTGTCTTATTCTTTATGCTTATATAATTAGTGGTGTCTGTTTCCTTTCTACAAGGGCTGTGTGTCAAAAGTATTCATTGCATCTTGACCAATGATGATATGAGTAGCAAGCTACCAGTGAACAACCATTATTGAGTATTTACTGTGTAAAACACGATTTTGAGTAGGTAGTGTGGGGGTATAAGAATTACAAGACAAAGATTCTTTTAGGAACTGTCCATATATGTGAAAATATATAATATATCATAAAAACATTAAATCTTCAAGGCAGAAAATAAAGGGCAAATGAATGCTATGGATAATACTTGTATAGCATAGTTAATATTCTATACTGTACTTACTCTATCTTCAAGCAGAGATAATACTCATTGTACCCATTGTACTCATTGTACCCCTTCTTTCACTTTCACACCCAATCCATCAGTTCTGCTTTGAGAACACACCTCAAATCCGTCCTCCTCTTTCCATTTCTACCACCATCTAAGACCTCATCATCTCACTGTTGGACAACTGCTAAGACCTTGATAGTCTCTCTCCTTTTACTCCTGTGCTTTTCCTATCTGTTCTTTACCCACTAATCAGTGTGGTCTTTTAAGAACCTAAATGAGATTATTTCATTCCTTTGCTTAAAACCCTCCCAGGGCAATCAGTTATTGTGAAAAATAAGTTCTGCGCTTTCCCCCAAGGCACACAGACCCCGGGTGATTTGGCTCAGCTTTTTTGGCTCCTTCATCTCATATCCATCCATTCTCTGTTGCTAATTGCTCCAGTCACTTTGTCCTTTTAGGAACACATCAGGAGCTTGCCCTCTCTCTCAGGGTCTTTGCATTGGCTGGTTCATTTCGTTGGAATGTTCTGTGCTCCTAAACATGGCTCATTTTCATCCTTAGGGTCCAGATCCAGATATTATACCTCTTCAGACAGATCAAACCGTTCCTGACCACTGTATTTGAAAAGTCCTATCCTATCACATTATCTTACCTGAAATTATTTTGTTGATTTCCTTTTTTTTAATTGACTCACTAAGTCCATGTGGGTGGCAATCTTGTCCTTATTCACTGCTGTTATGACTAACATACTAGGTGCTCAATAAATTTGTGAATAAGTAAACAAATTAGAATGGACCACAAAGGTTCAGAGCACTTTTATTACTCATGACTCAGTCATGCAGCAGAGTCGGCACAGAGGAGAATTTTATCTGGAGGAGGAGTGCATGTGGTGAGAGAAAGAGAGAGTGCGAGCCCAGCAGGAGGGGAGTAAGCTGAGACGGGAGGGGCAGTGGCTGCAGGATTTCAGAGATGGAGTAACTGCTGGGCATCTGTAACTGCCCATGTGCCTTTGGGTATCATGTAATCGTTTGAATCATCTTCATCTGTGAAATGGGGAACACAGTGCTTACTCTGAGGTTACTGTGAATACTAATGGTTTATTCTTAGCACCCTATTGATTACATGTGATAAATGGCAGTCTGCCATACCAGTATTTAATTCAGAATCTCAGTTGAACATATGCACCAAAATCGGATTTGGAAGTTTGTAGAAATGTGGATGTCAAGACCTCAACTCAGTACAGTCCTACTGAATCAGAAAAGTTATCCCTGGGTGGGGTAGGTGTGGAGCTTCAGCATGTGTATTTTTCATAAGCTCCCTAGATGAGTCAGACGTACAGCTGTTATTTTGAGCCATGTGTGTAACCCAAGCTGTGCTGGAATTCTCTCAAAGTCTCTTGTTGTGGGACTGTCCATCTTGAAGTGCTCTGTAATGGGAGCTGAAGGAGTTACAGGTCCAGGCCCTTTATTAATGGGACATCTCCTTCAGCCTCTGAACTTTCATCCTTGTAGATCAGGCCAGTAGTTACTGATCAGTCAGGTGATTATTACTATTAGTTGAAAACAAAATTATTGCAGTATCAACCAAAGTTCTCATGTCTTCCATTATTCCCGACCATGCTGGAGATGGAAGCCAGTCTAACTGTCTTCTATAGACTTATTCTTTTAGTATCTATACTTCTACCAACAGAAGATACCAGCTGCCTTAGCCAGGTTCCCTCTCCAACATCTCCACTGAGCAGTGTCAAGGGTACATAAACCAATACTTTCAAGCTCTTTACTGATGTTCCCTCTGCTTCCTACTTAACTGAAGCCTGCCTTAAACTAGAAATTGTTTTGGATGTCAGCAATGACTAGGCAGTCTTCTAAAACCTTTACCACCTGTTTGGTTGTTTGCTCATGTACACACAAATGTATTCATGTCTTAGAATGTTTTGGGCCAGTGATTATGTCTAAAGGTTTGGTGCTGGGAAAACATGATGAAGGCCAAAGGGTCTTGTGTCTGGTAAATGTGCCTGAAAAGAGGAAAAAGCCCTGTGAACAAACATGAGACACAAGAGGTGGAGTTGGAGTTCTAGGAGCTGATCACCTTATTTTAGTCCCATAACTGCTTATGACTTAATTCTGTATTGACTCGAGCTCCCTGCCCCCAGCACTTTTTTTTCTTTTTTCTCAGAGCCAAAAGACTGATCAAGTGGGTTGGGCTGTCATATTAAGGATCCTGTGGTAGTGAACTCCAATAACAGTGGATGAGAACCAATTTGGGAATCTTTCCTTACAGAAATAATTCTGGGGTCCTGTAATAAACCAAGCTGAGGTGGAGAGGAGCGATCCCATTAAATCCACTAATTATGTGTCAAAGACTTGAGATAGCCACCTGTTTCTAAGGCCAAGCATGGTTAATAGGGACATAGGAACAGATTATACCATTTCCTCTTTTTGAATGTTTATTTCAATAAATTAATTTTTTAAAAAATGGGTGTTTGGAGTGCTTCATTTCTTGTTTTGATTTTTGGCTTTCCGTAGATTGGGGAGAAAACTAAAAACCTGAATGAATGTTATAAATTTCCTCCTATTTTCAGGTATAATTGGGACTAATGGTTATATTACACCCATCTCATTTTATATTTATGAGTCTTTCTTGAATAAATTATATCCACAAGCTTCTTGTTATTGTATAAATTTAGCATGCTTTACTTCAACCCTATAATTTATTGCTCAGGTTTTATTGAAATAATTTCAAATTTTGTTTCCAGGTTACTAATTTTTTATATTGTCTAGCTGTTAGTTCTAGAATCTTTTATTATAATAAACAAGCTCCTGTATTTGATAATAGTTATATCAAGCTTTGAAAACCCATTTAAATGATTATGAGACTTATCTGTCAATTTTATTGTTCATTAGTTTTTCTTCTAAGACCTGTTTGTGCTTTCTTAGGATGTTTATTCTGATTTTTCTGTTGTTGTATCAGGGTTATTTTTGATTTTTTTCTCAGAAAAGGTGAGCACACAGATTTAAAAAAAATCTGAGATATTTAAAAATGAGTTTTTGTTTTGTGTTCTTGCATGTAGGTCGATGGAGTCTAAAATGGTAATCTTTCTCTGTAAATCATAGTCCATTGTCTGTCAGGAGTTAGAATTATAAAGAAAATTTGTATCAACTTTGTAAATCTAGGTTTCCCTTTTTGCAACTATTTTTTTCCTTTGAAAGATATATGTATAAATTATATGTATATGTATAAATTATATATGTGTGTGTGTGTGTGTGTGTGTGTGTGTGTATATATATTTTTTTTTTTTTGGAAAATAAACTCTTCTTCCATTACTTGGCTTTAAAACGTTCAGGAGTTTTGCACATATTCATTCATTTCTTCCACTCTGCTGCGAATTGAACCTAGGGCCTTTTGCATGCTAGGTAAGCACGGTACTATTGAGTAACATCTCCAGGATACCCCCTCCTCCTTAAATTTTATCTTGAGACTGGGTCCCACTCAGTTGCCCAGGCTTACCTCATACTTTTTTTTTTTTTTGTACTGGGGATCAAACTCGGGTCCTTGCACTTGAGAGGCAGGTGGTGGAACCAATGAGCTAAATCCCCGGCCCTGGCCTCATACTTTTGATCCTCCTACCTCAGCGCCCCCCGTGTCTGGAATTATAGGCAGGGATTATGGCCATGGGCCACCATGCCTGGCTTTGTACATATTTCATTTAGTATTCGGTTGGCAATAATTGCTAATGATACTGCATTATCATCTACTCTGGAGTTAATGATTTGAAGATATGTAGTAAAAAATACTAGATATTTTAGTGTTAAGGTGCTAGAACCTTGTAGTATTTAAAAGAACATTAACGTGTATTGTTTCATAAACCAAAGGGATTTTATTTTATTTTATTATTTTCCTCTTTATGTTTTGGGTGTGCACATGATTTTATATACTACAATATCATGAATGATATATATCTCTAATTTATTGAATATTCTTGACATTAATTTTTAATTTAAATTAATGTGTTTTAAAACAAAGGCCATTAATGTACAATATATAT